GACAGAATCTTTTTCTTCTGTTTGTTCACAAAGCTAACAAGTCAAGCACATGTTCATTGTGCTTTTTTATAACTACTGTGATAGAAATATTATGAAGGCTTTTCGTTGTTTGACAGATTTTTATTATAAAATTGCAAAATACTCAAGCTAATTAGAGCGACTGAAGAGGTTATAATTTTTATGAAAATTAATAAAAGAAAATTCTACAATATACAGTATGAAATAAAAACAAAAAAACAAACAGGTTTCCTAAATGTTTCACTTTTTTGTCAATATACGAAAAAATTGACTTTCTTTTCAGTCACTGATGTTTTGTCATATTATTCAATCGACTGATTGAATCTACCTGGAGTAGAATTTAGAGGGTGAATAAAAATGGTAATTACTACTTCACAATGTTGACTTTGTTGTAGTTTTATTTTTTTTTTTTTATTAAGCTTCAACTCGAGAGAGAATCACGTTTAAGTAGAAGTGAAAGTGAAATTACCTTCTGAGACAAAAAAACTTTTCTAAAACAAGTAAAAAGCTTATTCTTCTTATCGATAAAAAAATATTTCACAAATATTAAAATAATTTCCTTGTTGTTAAATGTTAGCTAACTTTTACAAGAATATTTAGTTTAAATCATTCGTTCTCTTGTTTTAAAAACTAAACAAAAAATTCATAATGCTCGCTGAATAATTTTCAACTTTTCACGCAAGGATGAAGCGATATTTTTCATCATCATCATCAACTTAAAACGTGAAAAGAAGAGTAACATAGAACTGCCAATAACTATATTTTCTTTTCACGATTGCAAAACACAACAATAACATTGAATCGAACAAAGACTGTAGAGAGAGTAAAATAAACCTTAAAAGTAAGTGAAGATAAAAAACAAACAAACAAACAAACCAATATCACAAGCAAACAAAAGATTTATCTACGACACACCCACACCTATAGACACGAACTTTATAATTCCCACCCCCACACACGCGTGTGTTTGTATGATAAAGAAAACACACACACATATGGCATGCATAGTGGCAGCAGAAAATAATAATGTGCGGAAAAAAAATAAAATAAAAGAAATAAAAAAAAACCAAAAAACTTAAGTGCAATAGAATTTTTACCTCAGGTGTTTGCTCCCCAGCAAAGTTAGACGGGAAAAAACCGAGTTACTTGTTGAAGAAGTCGGTCAGTAAGATTCACCTGAAGAGAGGACTGTTCTCCTAAAAGTTGTGTATTATTTCCAATAAGCAGAGAGAAAAAGAAGAGTATAGAAGAGAGAAAGAGAGAAGACTTGTTGATAGTTGAGAAGACGAATGCAAGAGAAGACAACAAACTACACGTCCACTCATAAATAGTCGATATGTCTTCTTCTTGCCTCTTCAGCGCTCATTTTAGATTTCAAAAACACAGCCAAAAATATTGAGTCTACTTACTAAATAAATAGATAAATAAAACTTTTTGAAAAATTCACAACTGTCACTTTTTTCTTTTAACTTCTTTAACTTCTTTTTTGTTTTTCTTCTTTAAATCACTAAAACAAACAAAAAAAAAGCAATTTACTTTTTTTTTTCTCTTTTATATTTTAATAGAAATTCCTGATCAATCCGTGTGAATTCTAAAAAGTCTGTCGAAACATTTCTAATGGGATCTTCATTCTGACGACGGCGTTGGTGATGTTGCTTCTACTGATAATGATTTATTACAAGAGGAACATCTTGAAAGAAAGTTGAACCAAACGCTGACCCCACATGTCACCGACAGATGCTGGCAGCGGTAGAGAATTTGACTTGGTAGTAAAGTGTGAAAGTCTGTTCCAGGCACGCCATGCAGGCCAGGGATGGGTTAACTAAAGTATGTCTCAAAGTTTTCGGCAAGGAGCCGTAATATTAAGAATTTAAAGTAACAACGAACTTGTGAAAAGTGCTCGCTTCCTTCTTGCTTGCGAAGGAGCTGACAAAAGATTACGCAGCAAGCACGCGCCCGCGTGTGCGCGCACACACACACTGACTGATGGAACCAGGCAGCCGAAACCTTCAACACACATACACAAACATCTAGCAGCAGCAGCAGCCGCAGCAGCAGAAGTGGTCGTAGCAGCAGTAATAGTGGAGACAGTAGCAGCAGTAACGTTACTTACTTGCAGTTCGTCTCTCCAAATGCACGGGTTCAAATCACTGGTGCGTTTATAGAGTGTGTGATTACAGTGTTTGTCGTGTAAAACTGGGGTTGGCAGAGGCGCCAGACAATGCATTCGTGGTGGTGGTGGCGGCGATGATGAATCAGACAAGCTGTGTGGCACTACATCCAACAGTCTCTCTAATTACAACAGACGTAAAAGCCTCATACCGTAGACACGTAGGAGAGTAAATGTCATTCAACGATGTTAACAGCCCATTGCTAAGATGTCTTGCTGGTTTGTTTCCGGCATTATCGATTTCTCTACACACCACCCCCACCATTTCAAGTGAGGACAGAGATATTCTAACACCTCCAAATAAATGACACAAGAAGGGTCACATCAACCAACAGATTAGTAGACTGGAGAAGATTTCAGTCAAACAGCTGGTGCGGAGCTCGATGACACAAAACTAGATGGACACATGACGTTTCCAAATATTGGGTTCGTTTAGACTGGGTGATATACTTCTTAGGTAATAATGTGTAGTTGGAGGGGCAGAGAAAAAGGACCGGTCAGCAATAGGGTGCAGAAGCTTGGCCAATGCATAACATTGCACAAGCATTGAAATATTTTTAAAAAGTGGGTAGGAAAGTAGAAAGTTGACTCAGGCAAATTCTGTGTTGGGGAGCTCACCAGTTTTAAGAAGGAGTGCAACTTGTATCATTCAACACATGCATGGCTAAAAATAAAATCGTTTGATAAGTTGAAAGTACAAAAAATATTTCCAAAAACTAAACAACTACAATCTGAAATATTTTTTCCGAATAATTATTAATAATAATAATAATAATATTTTTTAAAACGTTTGAATTGTTAATTTAAAAAAAAAAAAAATCTGATATTCTTAAAATATCAATGGATATTAAAGTTTATGAACAAGAGAATAGAATATTTAAAGCTTTTTAACTGCATATATATATATATATATATATATATATATATATGTGTGTGTGTGTGTGTGTGTGTGTGTGTGTGTGTGTGTGTGTGTATAAATTATTTTCAGATTGAGTGTATCTGCAAGGGACAAAATGAATAAAAAGACAAAAGGAAAAACTATTCTTAGCTGACACATTTCGTCATCTGGGAGACTTTAAGGAAAATATATGTATTTTATATATATATATATATATATATCTTATTACTATAAACATTTTACTATATATAGTAATAAGAAATAATGTCAGATAAAAAATCCTTATATATATATATATATATATATCTTTTGTCCTTTCAGGACGTAGGCGATCATGGTTCTTCACTTCCCCTTATCCCTTCTAGCTCTCAATAAGTTTTGTTCATCTGCTACCTCCCCCAGATCACGTTCTTTCATCTACTTGCTTATGCCTGCAAGGTATGTCATGTGTTGCTTTCACTTGTCTCTCTTTCCCTCTTTTCAACCTGTGAATATATATATATATATATATATATATATATATATATATATATTGAAGAATTGGTCATCAAGTTAATGTATACAGTCAAACATGTTTTTGTGGGTATTTGAAATATGATAAGCAAGATTTTTGAAGCCAAGTTTTTATTTCATCCTAATGATATTTAATTTATTTGTTAACAGATCCAAACAAATTTCACCTGTTTCTAAAAACCTCAGTATTACATTTCATTTAAAAATTGAATTTGTCAAAGGTAAATAAATCATTTCTTTTAGAATCATTTCTCTCTAATTAAAATCCTTATGAAATTATTAATTGTCAACAAATTTCTTCAAAAATAACTTAAAAATATCTTAACACTCAAGCAATCACTCAAAAAAAAAGGTTACAAAAATTTAGTTTATAACTAGCAAAACTTTTTATAGGATTATTTCAATAGTTATTACATCAAATAGATCTTCTGATACAAAAAAACAAAAACTTAGTGAATATTTTATATTCCTTACATTTTTAAAACTGAAATATTGTCAGTTTTGAAGAAAAATTAAAATCAATATTTTTAAATTTAAAGAAATTCAAATAAATCTTAATTTCAACTTAGTCTCAGATATGTTTTTATTCTTGAATTCTAACAAATGTAATATTAAAATATTTTGACATATCCAATTTTCATGACTTAGAAATCAAAAATACTTGGTCTCATATTGACAACCATTGAGGTGATACAAGATGTACAATTTGATAATGTCAATAGAAAATAACAAAGACAATCCTGGCAAGTGACACATCTTCACCTAGTATTTATGTTATACAAATCCAAAATATTTCTTTTTTTTAGATAATGAATAAATAAAAAATGTTTCTTCTACAGCAAAAAAAAAAAAAAAAAATCCTATCCATGAACTCAAAAGGTTAATCAGTAGGAAAAGTTTTTATTTTTTGATGTTGACAAACATTTTAATTTCTTATTTGAAGAATCTTATGAACAAAATATAGAAGAATTTTTTGATCATTTTAATTTGGTAAAATTCTTTGAAAGGGAGCTTTGCATTTCATATATTTATAAGATTGAAAATAAGACCTCTTTTATATATATATATATATATATATATATATATAAATGAGGACCTGCCTAAAGAAATTTGAATTGAACAACTAGAATTAACAAAAGATTTTTTTCTCAGTATTCTATTCAATATTGATTGATTCATTTTCTACAGCCTATCAACCCCCTTCAGGCCATTAAAAGCCAGGAAATATTTTTAGATTGTAAGAAAAGAAATTTTTGTGATAACAGTGGTTCTAGTGATACAAGAATTATTAATTAACATATAGTTGGGGGGGGGGGTCATGGATTCGTACCTTTACCAAAGTTATTTGTACATAAGTGAATATAATCAAATCAACTGGAATTGAAACTCAGCTCATCCAAGCTTACAACACCTGGTATTCCCATGTGGTCACCTCTCTAGGTACTTACCAGGCTTGATGTTGCTTAACTTTGGTGATCATACGGTAACTGATGTTTCAGTGTGATGTAGCTGTAAGCCTAGTATTGTGTTCAGTCTACTGGCAAAATTATATTCAAAGAGAAAACTAGCTAGGCGTTTTAATAGCACAGATTATAATAACTAAAATGACATTTATTGAATTCAAATTATCTGGTTTGACTAAAACAATAAAAAAAATTAACATTATACAAATGTAACTATTTGAGTACTGATAAGATGAATGTGTGAGAACTGAGGTTCAAGTAATCATCAAGTCATTATTTACATTTAGACTATCTTCATTTTTGTTGCACCCCTTTTCACAATGTTTTGACCATTCTGCTCTCATAGATTGTCCTTGTGCCACAATTCATGTCTAGGGATATCTCCTCCTTTTTTTCAGTTATTTCTCACTCTGTTTCCACTGAATATGTATCTATAGTACCTGACCTAAGGATTGTACTTGAATTTATTATTATGCTACCATATTCAAAAAACAATGTTTTAATCTACTAGACTATTATCCTTGACTATTCTGGATCTCCTTACTAGTAAATAAGTCATACATTTGAATCTGAATTTAACTATATAAGTGGGTTTTATCTTTACTATATAGCAAAACAACTATTTAAATTGCTTTAGATTTAATAAAACTCAATGCATGTTCTTAATTCAATTTTTGTAAGATTATTTCCAAAGGAAAGACATCTTCACTTTCTCTTTCTTTCCACTATGTACAGCAGATTTTACAAGATCAAACATAATTACTAATTTATATAGAAGACACAGTAATCTACATTTTCTTCAAGGCTTATTCCCAAGTCAGCAGCTCAAAGAACAAAGTTATTTAATGATTTTACACTGAACAACAGTTAACTTTCGGTTTTTTTTATTTTTTATATAATAAAATTAGGTTCGTTTTTATCACAACTTTTCACTGTTTAAATACTGATTTTTATTTAAAGTATAAAACGGACACACCACCAATACAACCCCTAAAAAGTATTAAAATTTACAAAATAAAATCTAATGTATATTTTCATGCTGATACAATTAACAATAATAATAATAATAATATACCCACCCCAAAAGCTGAGAGAATATTCAAATTTGTCCTGCAAATATGCAAAATTCACCAGTTAGAAACTATGAAAGAGATTGCAAATGAAAGAAAGGATTAAAGAAATCAAATATGGAAGAGAAAAACAAGAAAATAATCTATTTAATAGAACATTGATTTTCAAGTCAGTTGAAATGAACAAAAAGAAAAAGAAAGAAACCAGATCACATGATAGAGATTAGGGCAATAACATTGCAATCACATTACAGAGTCAGGCTCAGCTTATGAACAATCATTTTATAGCTGGTATGAAATTTGCAGAAATTCTCATGAAATTTGCCTTTAAATTAATCAACTCTTTTCAGTTTTAATTCATAAAATCAAATGAATCAATGTACAAATGTTGAGATTTCTTGATAAATCTAAATCTATTGCGGTACGCAAAAAGTAAAAATGACAGAAAAAAAAAATATTCAAAATCCTGTGTTCAGTTTAATTCTTAACTTTAAAAATTCTGTATTCAAAATAAATCTTTTAAAAGTGATTCTGAAAAGCATTCTTGTTGGTCAATAACATTTATAATAAAACAGTAGACTGGATTTTATTTTATCATTATGATTTCAATGATTAGCTTGACTAAATTTCAATGTGCAGAAATTATTAATTGAATATTTAATTCCTTGCATCTATAACCTTGCAATTATTTTTGTATTCTTTAAAGCTTTTTTTTTTGTTTTTAATTGGATGATTTAACTTCACTAATTCTTCATAATGAAATCAAAACCTAAAAATTAAATGACCTTATCTGAAACTTGGCTCAGGTGGTAGAGGAAAAGATTTAAGGCAGGCATATTTGAAATGTCATGTAAAAGAGGGAAAGTAAAGTTTCAATGATTTAACTTCACTAATTCTTCATAAGGAAATCAAACCTAAAAAATTAAATGACCTTATCTGAAACTTGGCTCAGGTGGTAGAGGAAAAGATTTAAGGCAGGCATATTTGAAATGTCATGTAAAAGAGTGGGAAAGTAAAGTTTCAATGATTTAACTTCACTAATTCTTCATAAGGAAATCAAAACCTAAAAATTAAATGACCTTATCTGAAACTTGGCTCAGGTGGTAGAGGAAAAGATTTAAGGCAGGCATATTTGAAATGTCATGTAAAAGAGTGGGAAAGTAAAGTTTCAATGATTTAACTTCACTAATTCTTCATAAGGAAATCAAAACCTAAAAATTAAATGACCTTCATTGACATTCATTACTATTAATTAACCCTGTAATGAAAAAAAAAAAAAAAGGCTTTTCTCTCAGTCTCAGAATGTCCACTCTGATAGTAACTGCAATCAAATTAACACCTATTTTTTATTTTGTTTCTCAGGTGAATATGAAGATTTTTAAACCTCTAAATTGATAGACATGAAACAAGTGTCAATATCAGAATGTCATCTTAAAACCAGCAGCAAATGCTTTCAACAATCTAACAAACAACAGCATGAAATGTATATTTGTCTCTAAAACTATCAGCATTGTTTATTTTTTTCTTTCTTTTGACAGCACAAGAAATAATTTATTGCTGCTGAATATTTCAAAATTAAAGAAAGTTTTTAATAAATTATTTTGTAATGGTATTTTTATAATTTTTCATTTATTATTCTTAAAGTTTATATTTTATGCTTGAAATACAACATTTTAAAAGAAACATGTGAGTGGGAAGAGATGAACCAAGAACTTCAATTCCCAGTGATTATGGCTAATAATGTGTTTTCTCTTATTTCAAATTCTTTTTTAAAAGCTTCAAAAATCTAACAACTTTACTAAGATGATTGTTCATGAGAAACACTGAAATGACTTGATTTTTCAAAATCAAAATGTAGTTAAAATTTGACCACAAAATGAAACATTGCCTTTTTAGGCTTCCATAATTTATTTTCTAAAGCCTTACAGAAGGATTCTGAAAATACCATGGATGATGTATGTAATCAACAAGGAACTTTTAAGGAAAATGGAAACAAAAAAGGGCACTTATACTTAGAATCAGAAAGAGAGAGTTGAAATTTCTAGGACACATAATGAGGAAAGAAGGTTTGGAAAATTTGACACTTAAGACATATTGAAATCAAGAGGGATGAAGGAAAGCAGCAAGTGACATACCTAACAAAATTATTTAAATGGATGACAAAACAGGGAGTAGTCAGGATACTAAAAAATAATCCTAAGAGCTACAAAGGATAGGAAAAGCTATAAAGGATAGAGAGCCCTTATTACCTATGTCCTGAAAAGACACATCACAGGGAAGAAAAAAACTTTGAACTTATAGGTATTTGATCTGGGTTAGGACTCATAAAGACGTCAAGTGTTTCTCTCTCCTATACAAGTATAAAAGGAAAGTTCAGCAATACTTAATTGATTTTAAAAATGTGATTGAATTCTGTTCCCCAGTCAAAAATGTAACACTTTCTTAGTTTAGTCAAGAGTTAGTTTAATACTAAAGCAAACAATTTTATTCATTCCTAGTATATAAAAAAAGTTTCATTGGGTAATATTAAAAAAAAACACATAAAACATTTAAAAATAATTATCCTCCTCTGATTGATTATTCTATATATTTTTTTAGCATAAATGTTGAAAAACAGAATTACAATTTCTTACTTTTGCTCCCCTCCTCAATGATTAAAAGTTACAGATTTCTCACTTATAAATATGAAAACCATTTAAATTTCAATCTAGAAATATCAAAGATGACAAGTAATGAAAAATGAAATTAGAAATAAGACAGTTTTGAAATACTTGCATTGCAATATTTATTTTAAAAACAGCAACAGATTTACCTAATGACGACATTTATGTTTGTGAATTAAGAAAAGCAAAGTTGAAAAATGTATCCTAAAATAAAGAAACATCCAAAAATAGCAAATTAATTTTTCAAATAAAAAACTGTTTTTTAAAAAAAGAAACGGTTGGTTCAGAATGCAGACTTTTCTTCCTTTGAAAATTATTATCCATCAAGAATAAAATTTGATTTTTGGTAAGAACCATTTGTTCACTAGATGTGCATATAGTATAATGGCTTGCAACCCAGAAAGAGAAATTGGTCACCTGAGTTTGAATTCTGTCCAAATTTTTTATATTCATGTTCACACAAATACCCTTGAGAAAGATATGAATTTATGTCGTTGACTCACCATCTATAGGTCAAATAGTAGGGCAGACTAGGCTTTCTTGCCTTGAGGTGGCAAGCAGTCTAGGAGAAGGAAAATTAATTCTAAACCAGTTTGCAAAGGGATGAGCTCTGTCAGACTATCTTGTCTTGGACATACAGCTTCTATGGCTGTAGTACAGGTGGTGCCCTTATGACTATAAGGGGTTATGGGAACTCAGGACATGAATTGTTTTCACTACAATGTATCTCAGATAAAGAAAAACTCCAAGCCATGCCAAAGATTTCATACCCATCAATAGTCAGTGTTGTACTAATAAAATCTACATTCACCAGAAGGGGGTTTAATTTTCTGCATGGTAGAGGTGGGGTTCACCATTTGTATAGGGCATTCAAAACTTGCAGACAGAGAAAAATTGATTCAAAGCAATTATATATATCTAATACTGTCTCTGCAACTCTGACTTTGTTATTGGATTTCACTACAAACAATATTTTTTTCTACATCTTCAAGTCTTTTCTACTGTGTGTTTGATGAATCATTTCAATGAACATCTCTTCCTACCTTTTTTTCTTCTTGCTTGACCAACACTTCTGTTCATGTAATAATGGTTGACAACAGACAAATTTCTTTCTCTCTGATTGGTCAAGATTTGAAGGTGACACATATGTACACCAAATGATGTGATGTGCTTAATAGTAGATATAGATTCTAAGTTTCCAAGACGATGCCAATTATTCTGATAAATGTATGTTAAAGCTTTCATAGGACATCGGTCAGAAAAGAAGACTTTTGGAAAAGTCCCAGCACAAACTTATAAATAAA